TAGTTCTCCAGAGCTCCAAAAAAACAGGGGGTTTTTCCACACCTTGGCCCAGTGGAAGGTGGTGACCAACACTCCAACCCCCCCCACCCCCGCCTGGCGGGCGGGGGAATTCTGGGAGTTGAAGTCCACACATCCTCAGGCTGCCAAGGTTGAAAAACACTGGAATACAGTAGACTATTAATTTGATACTATACTGTAGTTGCAAATACCTTCCTTGATTATTTATCCAAGGGAAAAAATTAGACCTCATTTGGGGCTTTCCTGTGTTTGGTGAACCTATCCAAATAAGTATTAATTTAAGGACGTAAGAACCCACTTCATGTAAACCCCAGGAATGAATGAATGAATGAATGAATGAATGAATGAATGAATGAATGCTTTTTCAAACCAAATTCCTGGCATTTCCTGGTGGCCTGTCACCCAAATGTGAACCAGGTCTAAATTTCGTTAGCCTTTTCAACATAAGCCAAGGTTAGCTGTTGTGACAGTCCACATGTTTATTCCATTTTTCTGTCTGGCTAACACATCTGGGTTCTTTCCACTGTTCCCACCGCCACCCCTTCTTATTTTTTTATTTCACAACAGCCCTGTGAAGTAGGCCAGGCCCAGATCGTGCAAGAGTTAACCGTTCCGCATTTCTTCCGCAAAATTTGGCTGTTGAAAAGTTTCGTTTGCTTGCTTTGTTTGAGTTGCCATAACAACTATCTCCCCACTGTGAGCTGAAAGGAGCGGCTGCCAATGTTTTATGAGTAGTGAAGTTGCGGGGTTCCCCCCCCCCTTTTAATATCCCTTCCTGACAGCTGCTGAAATGTTCAATTAAAAAAGGAGTGTGGACAGATACAGTTTACAGTTTTGCGAAAGTTTAGGACTGTGTTTTAAACACTGCAAAATCACAGCATGCAGGATGGCAGATTGCCTCGTCGAAGATCTGGCCTGGTTACGAAACATTTTAATATTTTAAAGTGATCTTGGCCACAATGGGGCATCCGGAACAATTTATAATTGAAATAAAATCTAACCCATAAAAATAAACTTCAAATGAGGGTATGAGGTCATGGAAAGTCATTATCATTCATTTAAACTGAAACAGTACCCCAATAGTAGTTCACACATTGATGGTGCTATATACATTCATTCATTCATTCAATCAATCAATCAATCAATTAATTAGAAGAGCACGGTCCTGACCAGATATGGTTTGAGGGCATGTCTAAACAGCTCCAGGTCTGGGGAGATCTTCTGCAAAGCTAGATCTCCTTTTTTTCTTTCTTGATGGCAATCTGCAAGGCTAGATCTAAAGTCTATTCTCTTAATGCTGCCCAGAGTCACTATGCTGAGAAGATTTTGAGAAATTAAAGTGATAACACCCCCATCTTTTTCACAGGGGAGAGTCATGGGAACCTCAGCAATTTTCCACATCTACCACTTCTCAGCCAATGGCCTGAGACATACCTCGGCCCAATCAGCAGATATAAGTCACTATATCTGTTGATGTGGGTCACTAGCTAGATGGAGGACTTTAGAAATGCAATATATTTTGTCTTCCTTTTCCATAATCTAAGAAAAGTGGGATAAATTTGTTTTAATAAACATAAGGAATACATTCTCTTTTCTTCCAGCTAGTCATATTCTTGATTCTCTCACTGTTGGTGAAAAGGAAGAAACTCTACCCAAATTGTTGGAATGGAGCACCCGGACTGTTGAGGTACTAACTAGTTCATGCTGGGTGGGGAATTCTGGAAACTGAAGTCCATGCGTCTTAAAATTGCCAAGGTTAGGAAATGCTGAACTAGAAATTCAACATAATGGATAACGCCACTTAGAGATCTAGCAAACAGTTGGCTCTGCAACTTCTTTTATTGCTAGTAGGCTGAGATGCATGGGAGATATTGTTAGAAACATCAAGCCTGCACCAGATTCCCAGCCCTGGGTCCAAGGCTCAATCTTTGACATCTTCTGTAGCAAGAGGATGGGAAACAGGCACCCAAAATCCTGCTTAAACTATTATCAACTACTATCCAGGTTTCATATGTCTGAAACATGGCCAGGGATGAAGCAGCCTCAAGTTGTGTCTGACAAATCACAGAAATCTCAGGAGTGTACATCAGTGTTGGCTGGGGAATTCTGGGAGTTGAGGTCCACACATCTTAAGGTACTGAAGGTTGAGAAACACTGGTGCAGACCACCAGAGCTGTTGCTTCAACAAAAGTGCACAGTCAGTTGAGACCTTCAGAAAGATGGTAGGACCTGATGTTTCAATAACTTCACTTCATCTGAATGCTGGCTCTGGTTTTTGAAAGGCACTTGTCGATTCCTGAAGATTTAGAGCCTTTTGAAGGCTTAGATTAATTGATGAAGCTGTGGGAGATTTGTTTTCAAAGTCTGAAATGGGTGTAGATTTATATTCTGGGGGTGCTGTGGGCTCTGTTTGAAATGGGGTGGACTCTAGGTCAACAGTCTCTGAAATCTTTCCAAAAGTTTGCCCTTGATTAAGAAGACAGGATAGTCAGAAAAGACAAAACAGTATTAGATGGGGAAACAGTCTGAGCAGATTCAAGAGAATTTCCTATGTTCCTCTGTTTCATATGAGAGAGTCAATCAATCAAAACATACACTTTGCATACAAAGTTTAATCCTTGGCATCTCCTATTATGAAGAACAAATGGGATAGCTGGTGATGGAATGATCTTTTCTGAACCTCCCTGTTGTCTACCTTATAAGACAAATTGTCCGACTTCTTAAAATGTTGCTTCCTGCAGATAGAATTGCTATTTAATCAACCAACTAATTCAGCCCAACTGCATTCACACATCAAGGGCATATATTTGCAGTTGTGTCCAGAGGAAACTGCAGCAATGCCCAGATTCTGACCTGCTGACAAAGACATCCTCATAGAACTCTTGCAAGTTCATCCCCACATCTGTTGCAGTACGTAACTAATGGCCTTTGCAGGATGACATCATGACACAGTTTGTCCCCCCTTTGCTCCCATCTATAGATACACAGTTGGACATGCATACCTTTTGGCTACATGAATTCATCTCCATCTTTCTCAAAGCCAAATACTGTATTGAGGAAGTGGACATGCACTTTTGCCTTGTGGGTCTTGCAACTTTGAAGTATATATTTTCAAAGGTTTCCTGCAGAGGCATTCTATTTGTAGAGGTCAATTTTTGTTTTGCTTTCTTTAATCCCTACCATTCTGTTTGTCTGCTGGCCCAGCCCTGTGAATTTCTTGGAAGACGTGCAGAACAAAGGATTGGTCATTGCAGTTTTTGGCATCCTCTTCTCTTCGTTATGTGTGCTGATGCTGGATAATAACCCCCTGCCTTTCATCTCTGACTCCTCAATACAGAATCGAGGTAATCTCAAAAGGTTGCCCGTATGACAATGGGGGAGTCTTTTCTGAACAGGCATCTTCAATGCATTGGATCACATCTTCCATCTTTCAGGTTAGCCTTGCTAGCTAAGAAGTATGGGAGCTGTGGCCAAAGATATTTCAATAGCACCAAAGTAGATAGAAAATAAGGGCCATAATCATCTTTTTTTTTAAAAAGTGGGCAGTTAAATTTTTTGAAGACCTTCATGGCCTCCAAGGTGCATTGAATTTGTCATCTGTAGAGGAAGCATATGGAGAACAAAATATGAGCTCTGCTGAATGAGGTCACATCTCCCTTTTCACAACAGCCATACTGATGCTTCTGACATGAGGCTAAGATCTGCTTCTTCCTAACATATCATATCTTAACTAAGAGTTGTGGTTGTGTCTAATCCAATCATTCATCTCTTCCTTCAGAAAAACATTAGAAATTGGCTTCCTCCCACCACAAGTGGGCATGAAAACAAGTCATCTACCTTGCTTTTGACCCATGCCAATTGGCATTTGATGGCAGAATGGCCCTGAAAAATAGATACTCCCTTCCTCCACCACGGTTCAGCTGAATGAGCTCTACAAATTGGTCCAGCTCTGGTTTTTAAAAGCCATTTCAGCTACCAGCAGGAGGAATAGCCAAAGGGTTCAGAAGAAAGCCTGTCATTTCTGCCTTCTGCATCTGCTGCAAGGAGTAGTTTCCTTGTTCCACCTACAGAGAGGGCCACTTCAAGGTCTGTGGGCCAACAGTCATCTTTGTGCAAGTAATTTTCCCATGAGTTGTCTCATGTGGGAAATCTGATGAAGCCCCTTTAGCAGAGGGTCATGAGAATCCCCCCCAGTGGCTTTGATCAGCATGCTGTCAGCATAGCCTTCTGCAGAAATACCTGGGCTCTTAACTTTTGCTCTTCTCTTCCCTTTGATCTCCTCTAGAGTACTGGAAGATGCTGGCTTTACTCTATTATCCTGCCTTCTACTATCCCTTACTTGCATGTGCTACAGTCCAACACAGAGTTGGATACCTCCTTGGCTGTCTGCTGTCCTGGTGCCACTGTGTGCTCTATATCTGGCAGAAGGTGGAATGTCCTCAATCACCCAAGGTAAAGGGAGAGAAGGAGGCGGACTGAGAGAGACTGGGTGGGAGCCAGTTAAGGGAGTAGCTCTCTTGTTTGAAGCCTGAAGACTTTCTGCCCATAGAATATATTAAGGTTCCAGAGCAGTTTGGGACCCAAATTTTGGATTTAAAAAAATGGGGTTGGGCCAAAGAATTAAAAAATATTAATTCAATACAGTTAATAGTAACTCCCCAAGTAAAGCCATTTCTCCCTTTATTACATTCAGAAGGACAACCTGGAGATAACTTCTGGAGAAGCTCTGAGAGCCACACTTAGAATTGGGGGGCATTGATCTGGGGCCATAGTTGCATGCCTCTTTTGAACATGATACTTCAGAAGATGTTTAAACAGATGGCTGTTTATCACTTATGTTTGCCTGATTCAGTTAGGTAGATCTTAGGACTCAACCACTGCAGGCTAGAGTTGAGGATGTGTCCCACAAGAATGAGGAAGGGGCTAAGTGGGGAGCTAGTTCTCAGGAAGAAATATGTCATGGAGTTCTCCCCATGTTGCTTTGAGACCAGGAATTATTTATTATCTGTACACTGGACAGAGCAGGTGCTTTGACTTAAGGGAGCAACAAAATATCTGGATTTCTCAAGGACTATGTTCTCAGTATCCAGGAATGATGGCAGAAAGCAATTATTTGCACAGCTTGTAATTAAGAGGAAAGCATATTTTGAGTCCCTCCAAAGGCATAAGAAGGAAGAAGCCAAGAACACCCCCTCTGAGTGCCAGAGGATTTGAGGAAGGGATGGAGAGCAATTAATCAGCTCTCTTTACTTGTGATTTTGCATCTCAAAGCAATTCACAGAGGACTTAGCAAGGGAGACCAACTCCCTCTTTAAATTCATCCACCAGTGCATTGCTCTGGAAGCAATTTCTGGTCAACACACCACCACCCCTAGGTCTGGAAACATCCAAGTGCCTTGTGTAATTATTAGCTGTTGGGAGATCATGGCGGAGATACAATTCATCTCATTAACCCTCAGTGGTATCCTCTTTATTTTATTTTCTTCTCTCTCATTCCTTTTCAGATTTATAGATACTATTCCCTGCTTTCTTACCTTCCTATCATTCTGTGCCTTGCCGTGCTGAGCCTTTGGTATCCTATGAAACTGGTCGAGAGCTTCAGAGAGAACACCAAGATGGTGGCGGAAAAGGTAACCTTTCTTGACATTGCCCTCTCAAGCCCGAAAGGATGCAACCTCAGCTCCGACAAGAAGAGGCCACTGGCTTTCATTTCCCCCCATTGATCTAGTAGAGGGTTTTTCTGTTTTGAATAATTATTTTATAGATGATAGTGAGATCAACAGATCAAAAAGAAACAGCGATGATACAGTAAATATATACCAGGGCCACAACAGAGAAGACCCACGTCCTCTGTGGGCCATCATTGCTTGATGGAAGGGATCCGAAACATACCAACTCTATCTTCCTATTTCTATTTTTCTCTGCTTACTCTCTCCCTTCACCAAGCAGCAGAAGAGACAAAAGTTGAAATTATTTACTTTCTTTTTTTGCTTACTTTCCCTCCCTCCCACTTCAGTTATATGTAACGGGTTGTTCCAGCTCTCTCATTCTTTTACCTGATACAGGAAGAATAGATGAAGTGGAGTAAAGGTCTCTTATGCAATGTTTTAGGGGAGGTGATGGTCCAAGGAAGCCTACAGCGATCAGTGTCTTGAGTAGGTGGGCTGATCTAATGAGTGCTGTGCTTCCAACCGCCCATGGTTTCCTTTACAAGGCAGGTACAAATGAGATGAAATATTGTAAATATCAGCCTTAGCTTGGATCAGATTCAAATCTTGTGTGTCAGGGAAAATGCAGAGTGGAGTTTAGCCAGCTTGGCAGTCCTCAAGATGCCATATTAATGGGCATCACATGGATATGTATCTTTTAATGAAAAATTTTGTTTTCTGCCTGCTCTCAGATCCATCATGATGCAGCAAGGACTGCTTAAATTTGGAGCCCTTAATTGCTGTTTTGTTTGGGTGTGCTCCACTCATATTGGCTTACTGACCGGACAGTACATTGAACTGATGGAGTGAAATGGACAGACCCCTTTGAGTGCAGGGCAGTTTTTCATGTTTCCTACAGAGAATATAATAGAATTTTGATCTCTAAAAAATGCTTTGAAGCACAAATGTAGCAGCTATCTACAATACCTTAAAGAAGCCACACGATTTCCTGGGATTATATGGCAGCTGTAAAGAGTCTGCTTGATCTTGGGAAAGGACATGGTTGCTTTAAAGAGTTGGGGACAGGCACTACAAGTGTGCTCCTTGGCCCTTTGACATACCTTTTGGAGACTGAATCCAAGGCCCTGTGCAGTCCTCAAATTTTTGGTGGTTGAGGAGTAGAAAATTAGCTTAAAGACAGCTTGCAGATAGATGTCAAAGTTGGCACTGATGCAAAGGAACCTGAGACCCATAGGGCACTTCTGAGTCTCATATCCATTTCAAAAGTCCTTTGCAAGGGATCAGTTCAGATCTTTGTTAAAAGCAAGACCTCTTTCCTGACAACCCCACTGCTGGGAAAAAAGGAGAGGGTGTCAGAAGGAGAACGAGAGAAAAGAAAGAGGAGAGTTGGAACAAGAAAAAGGAAGTCAGAAGAATGAATATCTCCTCCCCCTTGGGACCTGGCTCCACCCTCCACTGATTTCAGCTCCACCCACCATGAGCACCACAGCCTGGACCCATTAAAAGTGCCTTCCCTGGGAGTAAGAGGCATTGGATTCACTGAGACTAACGGCTGAGTAGCCTTTAATAGATTTGTGGCATGAATACGTCCCGCGACATTTTATTTTTAACCATCTGCCACTTTCATCCAACCCTCCCAAGACCCTCTACACCAGAACCGCATTCTTCTCTACCTGCACGACAAACTGACGATGAACTACAGCCGAAGTGTTGGGGCAGTGTAGGAAGAGAGCTGAGATTTTAAATCCTCCATTTTATAATGACCTCTAATTTATTTATTCGTGTCACCCAAACCCCTTAGCACAAGAAGATTTGAGTCTTAATGCCCCTTCTTCAGAGGAGAACTGATGCTTTATTGTATAGTTGTATGGAAAGCGGCTTGTTGGAGTAACGGTGTTGTAATCCTCTCGGACTGTTCCGAAAGAAATCTCTTCTTTGCCAACCAAGAACAGTGAGATGAATGCTTGAGGCCTTAGTCCTGAAATCTGCGTGGGGTATTCAGGTTTTGTCAAAGCCAACCGTTTATACAGCCCTGAGATAAAAGGAAGGAATATTTTTTCTCATTGTGAATCCAATTCTCTCTTTTCCTCGCAACGCTCGGAATGGGCTGCAGTGACGGCGCTGTTCCTCTTCTTTCACACCAGATGTAGCTGGGCATCTGCGCGGCCATGTAATTAGCACCTTTGCAACTGTTAGCGTGACTCGCAGGGCAGATGGAGATTATGCGAGACATTTTTAATGGGGGGCACGAATCAAACCTCTCTCTCTCTCTCTCTCTCTCTCTCTCTCTCTCTCTCTCTCTCTCT